GCATCAGAGCCTGGAATAAAATCAAGATCTCTGGCTTGGCTCAGGTTTCTCGTCTTGTCTGAGGGAAAGCATTGTAGCCCTAAGGCACCAACAGTGAAATCAAGCAAGGACAGTCACCATCTGCATTAAATGTTTGGGGCCATACAGTCAGGAGGCAGAGGGTGGCAGATGTTCTACACCTTCCTCCTTACAAAGCGCATAACATGAGTTTGGGAGCACAGAGAGGGTTTGCTTCCAATTCTACAGTTTGATTGATTGATTGATTGATTGGTTGATTGATTAACTTGCTATGCATTTTACTAGTGCATCCATTGATGTATGTCTTAGAAACCTGATTTGCCAGGAAAGAAACCCAGGCAAAGAGGGAGACAGGCTTCAAAATGTTTTATCCAAAGCCCTGTCCAGAGTGCACTCTCTCTCGCTCTCTCGCTCTCTCCACTATAAAAAAATTTCATAATTAAAGAATAATGCATGCTTTAGCTTAGTGATAATAACCTTATCCTCCAAAATTATGTGGGTATGTGGGTAGGTTCAGATCACAGCTCAGCCACTTAAATGTTAATGACCTTGGGCAAATTCCTTAACCTCCTTAAGATGACACTGTTTCTGGAAAATGGGAAGCAGTGAGAGCCTTCCAGGGCACTGAGAGGCTCAGTGAAGTAATTCACATAAACAGGCATTTGCAACAAAGAAAATAAAGATTTATTTTTAGGAAGTGGCCCACACCTGGAAACAGGTGAGGTAATGCTCAAAACCTTGGCTCCCATGGCTTCCAGGGGATGAGTTATAGTGGGGGTGGATGTTGGGGGGGGGGGGGGGGTTGAGGAGGAGGATCATTTTCATGATGACTAAGGGAGTTAGGGTCAAGGTTAGGGACATGTTCTCTGATTGGTTGGCTATAGGAAAGGAAGTAGTCAATCATTGCATCTGGTCCTGATGCCAGCCATGGCCTGGTTTCGTCTGGTTTTGCCACTTTTCTGGGCCTGAAGCTGAAACACAGCTGAGGCCTAGGTGTTGTCTCTAGCTTGACCGAAACTGTCTGGGGTCAACAGACCCAAAACTTTGTTCCTAACGTTATCTGATTCGGGTCAGACCTCATTGTCCTGAGGGCCTAATGATTAAGGTCGTGCAAGGGAGAAGGAAGTGGGTGAGTCAGGGTGCTGGGTGAGGCTAGTTGGAATCAAAAGGAAAGAAGGAGAAAAGGTCAGATTAAAGAAGCGAAGGTTCTTTGCAACTGCACATTTTGCTTTCAGTTGGTTGCCATGGATCAGAGTCTGACTCACCAGAGCTCTTCTGAGAAACTTCAGCCTTTTCATAGCTGCTTTAAAAAATAGTAAACTGCTAGCATCGTTAAATGACGATAAAGATTAAACTGTTAACAGAATAAAAGAGCTAATTGGTTTTAACTGCTCTGCATAAAAACTGTGCTTTTAAGAATTTCATTACTTTCTATAATTAAACATTAAATTTTAAATACTGAATAGCCACACCACTCGGTTTTCAGGAAAGCGCTCCTGTTCCACTCCATTGCTAAGAGTTTAAAATGTCTGTGTGCATGGGGATCAATATTTGGATATATATTTGCCTAACATTCAATGAGAATGAATCTAAACAGCTGTGAAGATGGACAAAATCGCCAAAGATCTTCAAATTCATCTATAGCCAGAGTTTATCTAAAGACCCTCAGAGAATGATTTTAAAGTATCCACATTTACATTTTAAAATTAAAGTGTTTCTTTAACTTTTGACTTGGTAAATTTCTTCTGTCATTTGGAAGAAAAACTGGAATTCTGAAGCCACACCTTCCTAAAGCGCAAAGTTGGAGTTGAGGCACAGTCCACAGAGGAGGGCAGTAGGGTAGCTGGTACACGGTTGGGGGTCTTGTGCAGTGACATCATCCCCAGGACAACTATGAGAACCGTGTGCAGTTCAGCTTCCTGTGAATACATACATTCACATGAACTCTACTGCTCCTTATTTATTAGAACATAATAGAGACAAGACAGACAATATTATTATTTCAAGTGATTCTGGAAGTGAGTAGTAGGGAAAAATAAAGAGAGGTTACCCTCTTACATCCCAAGAGGAATGGAATTTGAAAAAGAGCTATTTTGGAGAAAACTAGGACATTTTTTAGACTCATATAAAAAATATATTGACCATCTACCACATGCTGGCTGTATTAGGTGCTGGGCTCCCCAAGACCACCCTCAGGCTCAATGATTCTCTAGAAAGATTCAGGAAATGTGATTACACTCCCAGTTGTGATTGATGATAGTGAAAGATGGAGAGTAAAATTAGCACAGGGAAAAGGCAAAGGGATATGGACCAGGAAAGACCAGATCAAGTTTCCAGTGTCCCCTCCCAGTGCAGTCACATGGGGACACTTAATTCTCCCAGCAATGATGTGTGAAAACACATGGAAAAGGTTGTCAATCAAGCCTTGGTGTCCAACGTTCTACTGAGGGTCAGTCTTATAGGCAAGCAGTGTCCTCAAGATGGGCCTCAGCTACTCAGACTCCCCCAGAGCAAAACAGGCCTTCCCTGGAAGTCACATTATTAGGATAAACTTATTTGGTCACACTGGTGCAGCCTGGGCCAAGGCCTCCAGCACACAAAATGCTCTCATCAGGCCAAATATTCCAGAGGCTCAGAGGTTACAGTCTAGAAGTCAGCCGAGGAACCACCCGAACGTGTGCAGGGTTTGAACAACCTAGGCCTGCTGAACTAGTCCTTCCCATTCCACTGTTACACACATTACACCATAAAAGAACCATCTGTGACAAAGTTCCGTTGCCCCATTTTATAGATAAGAGGTCAATGAGTGACACTGCTGACAAAAGTCATAAATATGAGCCAATTTTACTGAAGAATTTTTTTTTAACTTTTTTTAATTTTTAATTTTTTTCAATTATAGTTTATATTCAATATTATTTTCTGGAGGATTTTGACTTCAGCTTGGCTTTAGGTACCTACATTGAAGAGTGAGCACTTCCACCTAAAATGTGTTTGCTTTATAATGCCAGCATGTTTGAGCTCCTTATTCTTGATCAAAGGATGAAGTTTACAGTCATTTTTATTTCAGAGGCTGGAAAAAAACCCTTCTGTAAGCTTTCAAACTCTCTCACTGGGCAGAATGAAGTCCCCAGAAGTAGATATGTGCTAGACCAGCGGTTCTCAACCTGTGGGTCGCGACCCCTTTGGGGGTCAAACGACCCTTTCACAGGGGTCACCTAAGACCATCGGAAAACACATATATAATTACATATTGTTTTTGTGATTAATCACTATGCTTTAATTATGTTCAATTTGTAACAATGAAATTGGGCGTCACCACATGAGGAACTGTATTAAAGGGTCGCGGCATTAGGAAGGTTAAGAACCACTGTGCTAGACTTTTGCATCTCAGTGTTTTTCAGATCACAGTGAACGAAACTCAACCTCAAACAAAACGTGCTCACTACCTATCACTGGTTTTCCTGCCCTTGCTGTTGGATTGCTTTACTCCCTGAATCAACAAAGAAAGCTCATTAGTCTCACTTTGTGAAAACTCTTCATTTTCCCCCCAGACTTTCCATTTCACGCTGTGTGAATTTTATTAAGATCTCTTTCGCAGAAGGTAAGAGCTGGCTCTATGGGGCCGGAAGGGATGGTAGTCACAGCCTCTGGAATGTCTGAAGCCTCTTGAGACCTTTCTTTTCTACTGAAAACTCCTTGGAGAATCATTGCAAAGAACCTGAAATCTTTTGATGCTGGAAGACATAGTTTGGCCTCATGAACATTTTGTGCAAAGTTGTTATAAACTGAAAACCAGCGGCACAGCAATCCAGTTAATGTCCAACATCTGAGTGGTAACATCATACTGATAGTTTTTCTCAAGGCCTTCAATTATTTTTAAAAGCTGGCCTAAAATAGCAACAAAATATTTTCCATTTTATAATTACTCTTTTTTAATTATATTTACCTATAGCCCTGTTGCCTAACAAATTGTCACTGGCTTTATTACAATAAAAATTATGTTTTAAAAAGTTAGTTATAATTTAAAAATAAATTTTATTCTGATTTTCCTCTTAAATTTATGTAATAAGAATTTCTAATGTATTATATGCTCTTAGAACTGACATAGAAATAGCTGCCTAATGGTCTATCAGATAAAAATAGTATAATTAAGCCAACCATTTCTCTATAGTGGATAGTGAGATTAGTCCCATACTTTATGATGAAAATAGTAATAGCTAACATTTTTGAGCACTTAATATTTTGCATATCAAGTCTTTTAACTGTCATAAGAATCTTATGAGACGGGAACTATTGTTTTCCTTATGTTAGATGTGTGGAAAGGATGTACCGGCAAGTCATTCACCTTGCCCAAGGTCACCCTGGTAAGTGGCAGAGCTAAAATTCAAACCAAATATAATAGAGCCTCCTTTATGCCAACTCGTTTCCTAGGCTATCCCAAGATTTTCATAAGGATAACCCCGTCTAAATAAAAGCCTCAGCCTATGTATGCAAATTCATAAACTAAAATTTTATAGTCTTCTCATTGGTTCCACTGCATTGAATATGCAATTGCAGCTTTTTCTTAAGTTCTTTCCATTTCAAGAGCTATCAAGTCATAGGAGGTAGAGTTATGATATCACAAATGTGAAAATACTCTAAAAATAACTATTTGTTTTATTCTTTATGCATTACAATAACCCAAATCACTTTTATTTGTTCCTTTACACTGTTGTGAACACTTCATCTAAAAATCCAAACATACATGGATTTTTGCCCAGAACTCTGTTCTGGAAAGATGTGTTGGTGGGTTGGCTGGTTGGTTTGGTTGAGGATGAACCTGCTTCACTGTCTCCTGTGAAAGTCAAGGGAGAACATTAGTAGAATTATTAATATGACTATGGAATTAATATGACACAGGGCAAGGGTGTCTTTCACATGGAGAACTGTTATACACTTGAACAGTTGAAGACCCATCTCTTTCCCTGTCTCTGTTCTCACAGAATGTGTGACACGGGGGAAGGACTATTCACTTTTCAAACAAGGGAAGGAGAAATGATCTATCAGAAGGTGCATTCTGCGACACTGGCCATAGCTGAGCAACATGAAAGATTAATGCTAGAAATGGAGCAGAAGGCCCGGGTAAGCCTCCTTTCTTGGTACCTGAACAGCTTGGAAATGAATGTCACTGAGGTCAGATGCACATCGTGTATATGTGTGTCCGTCCATCTCTCCACTCCAGTGTCCACCCCACCCCGGCGCCAAGAGCTCACTCCAGTTGCTGAATCTCATCTAATTTTCTCTTCAGCTTATGAGAAGAGAAGTTATTTGAGGCCACTAACAGGGAGCCCTACATTCTGTATATTTACCTGTGTGTGACCTGTTGCCATGGTTACCCAAAAAAGGGGTGGAGTGTACAGAGAATGACATAAGAAGCAATGTCCTCTGCATATCTCCATATACTACTGGACAATCAGAAATTCAGACATAGGCCCAGGAAAATTAAATAACTACCAGAAAGGATTCTACTTTTCTTTTTGTCTTTATCTTTGTCCTAGCATTTCTGAAACTTTTCTGTCCTCCACATGTATCTCAGAGTCAATAATAACATGTTTGCAGAAGGAGCTCCTCTTGTTTATCGAATGAATGATTTGCCTGTTATCTGGCCTGAAACCCTGCTATCTACAGTTTCAGGGTCAAGCTAAGAAATGGTTTAGTCCAAAATCTGAAAGAGTAAATTTTACACATAGCTGGAAAAAAATTTATAAGCTTTATTACTGTCGTTTAAAAGCAAACAATGGAATGATTGTTTGCTACAAGCCTAAGAGGTGAATATTGTCTATGTCTTCAGGATTTATGGGGATGCATGAGATTTTACCTGTGAGAGGACAGGAGGACTTTTGGGACATGGGGGTGGGGGGAGTCTGGCATTAAAAAAACAATGATTCCATGCCAATTTAAGACTACTGACTTCTCTATCTGGTATTACAGTAGGATTTTTCTTGCTTTTTTCATGTTCTTTTTTTAAATTTTTTTTAATCCTCACCTGAGAATATTTTTTTCCATTGATTTTTAGAGTGGAAAGGAGAGGGAGAGACAGAGAGAAACATGGATGTGAGAAAGATACAGTTGGTTGCCTGACTCATGCCCCCGACCAGGGCTGGGAGCCTGCAACCAAGATACATGCCCTTGGCCAGAATCTAACCCGGGACCCTTAAGTCCACAGGCCGATGCTCTATCCACTGATCCAAACCGGCAAGGGCTAGTATTACAGTAGTTTTGATTTTAAAATGTCTCAATTACTTAACATTTTAAAGTATAACAAACTTTTCAATATAAAAAACAAAGAAGTCATTTAACAAATAATCTCATGCTATTCTTAATGCATTTTTAATTTTCTCAATACTGCATACATAATTTCATCTCTCTACCTAGAATACGGTGTAAATAGTTTTCCTAACACCCAAGGGTGACAACGGCCAGTCAGGCTTATCCAGACATTTGACCTCCATGGGGAGAATGAGTAGCTTGAACATTAGTAGGATTATTAATATGACTATGGAATTAATTGAATATGCATTAATAGGAGATTAGTATGGCTTAGTCTTCTAGATTTAGGTTAAATTTAAATCATTGTAACAATTTTCTAATTAATATGACATTTTTCTAGTGGCTTAAATATATTATAAATGTAACTGACAATTTTTAAATTGTTTCAGAATCTTGCACATTCCTTATCAGCCTATATTTGTAATTCACTGGTGCTTATTGGCAACCAAAATTAGCAATTGTGATGTCACTTTCTATTAGTTAACAGTTATAGTTCTTCTTTACTTACACTTGTTTTGAGCAGGCAAAATGCTCCTAAGTCAAGGCATTTAAATTAAATGTTCATGAAGGAAATTCCAAGAGCTTTTTCATGCCACCATAATTATCTGCCATAAGGAGACCACTTAGTTAGTGTCCTGGGTCCCCAATCCCACCACTTACTGTGTGATCTGGGCAAGCTATTTAACCTCTAAATGTTTCATTTTCCTTTATCTGTAAAATGGGGATATAATGGTCTACTTTTTTGGTTGTTATGAGGTATCTGTGCATATATATCAACATGTATACAGGGTGGGCCAAAAGTAGGTTCCAGTTGTTCGTATGGCAAATAGTACAATAATTAATTAATAAACTCTGTTTCACGTACTCACAAGTGTAAGCCTACTTTTGCCCCACCGTGTGTGTGTGTGTGTGTGTGTGGTGTGTATGAACTTCTAAGAATAGTCTTGGCACATAGAATGTACCATAAAACATTCATTATTATGATGGCAACCCATCTGTAGGAGGAGTGATTTTGAATAATTATAAGATTTACAATATTGTGTGACACTGAGAGCAAGTCTGGGGAGTGGAGCCAAGCAATTGCTGCTGAGGGGTCAGAGACGGTGGGCCACTCGCTAAGGTCTTGGGCGGTCTAAAGCTGGAGAGAAACGCCATGGATACAGGTGCTTGAAGGTGGAGGGGAAGTGGGGAAGGTGTCAAAATAGCAGCCTTGGTATGAATCAACAAAGAATCCAAATCTTTCTAGAAATCACAGATTCATAGACTTTATCTTCTTGGTACATACATGGAATTGGAGCATTCAAAAATGATTGCACAAAATGATGCTTTTCTCTGAAGGTTCATATTAATAAAGTTACTCCAGAGCTGGTCCATTTTTCAGAGTAAGTTGAATTAATGATGCTTTTTGGAGGGCAAGTTATACAACTTGAAAACTACCCCAATTCCCCAAATTCTAGGACCATTAAGCGAAGGTTTCCAGGTCTCCAAGACAGAAGTTTTTCTTTCAAGAAAATTTTTTTACAAGCACAACTCTCTTCTAAACACAAATTCTAACAAGAATGAAATAGCAATTAAATACCCTCTTCATATTCATGAAGCAATAACTCATCATTTGCTTATTTAAAATAAAATGAAGGTCTGTGTTATAAATTAGATAAAAGTATAACTCGGGAATTGGAAAAGCACCAAAAAACCTATCTAGCATATCAAAATGTTGCATTTCATTTATTATGTATCTATTGCAAAATAAGAAAATGACACTGTTCATTGGCCTTCCAGTTTTTAAAACCAGGACATGGAAGATTAATATAGATCAGATCAAAGATGTTTATATATTTTAATATGATTAAACAGATTTTACAAGATTAAATTATCAATGAGCTATATAAGCAATGAATGCCCCAAACATACTTGTTCAGGCAATTGAATGAAGCATTTATTTGCATCCTTTTTAAAAGTGATTCGGGAGTGTTACTGGCTTTATAAACTTGAATGAGAAATAATGTTTCAATAACCATTTCTTAACTATAAGAGAAAAAATTTAATATAATCTTTTCATATCATATGTAAAACCTTGTTTTCTTTTTGTTTATTATCTCCCTTCTGGAAGGACACATGAATAAACATGTTTTGATATATCACTGTAATCTAAATTAGGCATTATTTCTATTCTTGGTTGAAGAATCTAATATCTAGGAAAGCAGTGTGAATAAACAGTACATTTGCACTGCAGAGTATTGAATAAAAAGAATCACTGAACCCAGCGTGGCTCAGTGGTTGAGCGTCAACCTATGAACCAGGAATTCATGGTTCAATTCCTGGTCAGGGCACATGCCTGGGTTGCAGGCTCAATCCCCAGTGTGGGCATGCAGAAGGTAGCCGCTCAATGATTCTCTCTCATCATTGATATTTCTGTCTCTCTCTCCCTCTTCCTTTCTCTCTGAAATCAATAAAAATATTTTTAAAAAGAATCACTTAGTTGGTAAGGCTTTTAAAAGTGTATATTTTGGTTTTCTTCACTGACAAAGATATTGAAAGAATTAATTTATATTAACTGACCCAAGAAGATTTTATACTTGACAATAAAACTTACCCAAGTGTTGAAAACTACCAGTACATGATATACTTTCTGTCTAAATGGTTGCATGAACGGGGAAATACTATTATATTGCATCAATTCAAAAATGCACATTTTTTCATATTTGAACATCTCTCATGTTAATGTAAGTTACAGTTTAATTAGTCGCACTGTTCTTTCCTGTTGCTACCTCAGATAATGTCTTTCCATTGATGGCATCTTTAACTGCATAATACTTGTTATAAAATGTATTCTGAAGACATGAAATTATTATTCCCAACTATAGCTAAATAATATCTTTCAGTTCCTTTCAGGTATATCTATCATGACCATAAGCACCACATGCCCATTTTTAAATTTTGAGGAAGTGAGATAGCCTTCCAGAACAGACTCTGTCCTGGGAAGTTTGATTTCCCCAACAGTGGAAGCATTCTTCACACCCACATTTTACAGGAATCTCTATCACTTATGGAAAAAAAAAAAGTGTCCTACACTAACACTGTGAAGAGTCTGGAAGCATAACAGTCCAATGAGAGTGCACGGAAAAATTGTACCACATTATACAATCTCTCCTCTAGGCATTGTTCATAGACATTTAAGAAATTCTAGGAAAAGTTTAAATGTGTGATTTGTGATTGCAAGTGGTATGTAATATCTAACAAGTTGGAATAGCTGCTAATTCATTCTTCAAGATTCTATTCACGAATCTATTACTCAACATTATCAATTATTAATCATAAGACAGGAGCCTTCATTATTATTGACAATGACCAGTTCCCTGCTGGGAAATGCCAATCACATAATTGTGAAATTTCATTTTACTGATCGATAGACACTGATTATAATAAACCAACACAGGCTCAATTTGAACAAATTATTATAGTCAATAATTAAAGTGTGTCTGTGTTCCTAATGAATCAGTTCACTTACTATTGCTCCCCTTTCAGAATACTAAAAAAAATGTATTCCAAACAAATACAAAGAAAAATACCCATTTTTGCATAAATACACAACTGAGAGGGAAATAGTCAGAGGGCAGGGTGTAAGTTTTCTAATAGGTGATGCTGCAACATAATATAATAGTAAGGATTTTCTTTATATCATGCTCTTGTTCCTTAAGCTTGACCAATGCATGGTTTAAAATAAACAATGATAACATTCATTTTTTTTTCAAGTCAGAGGAAAATAATAGTGCACAGTCTAGTTTTAAATAACACCTAACAGCTTCCATTAAATTATTGTATAAACTGTATTTCATTTGTTAGTCTGGTGCACACTCAGCAAAGTGTCTTCTAATTCATTTCCATTTATTTCAAATAAAATGAAAGATTAAATGTGAGATGTCTCCTATTGAAAATTAAGTCCAGTCTGTGAGAAACCAATTGCCCATAAACCCTCAAACTTCAGAGGACGGTTTGCATGAATCCAAACAGTGCCAAGCTCGGCTGGCTAAAGGTCTCTGGGGGGTTCTATTCTATACAGTTTTCAGGTTTCATGAGCTTTTTTCCAAGAACAGAGAAAATTACATGTTCTTGACCTTTATTCAGCATTTCCTCACTAAGCAGCTCCACATTTTGTTCTTATACTGACATACATTTAACACGTCACATAGCCTGTTTCCTAACCACTTGTATTTCCGTGGTGTTTCTAATTTACAGCATATATTCCTGCCCAGTCCCTCTTGTCTCAGACATACCAAGGAACATGTGGACACATTCCACCCAAGATAGGGCATTTCTTACTTCATCATACAGAAGAAACTGTGACTATGATCTCTCTGAGCCTCATTTTCCTTGTCTGTGGAGCTCAGGTGGCATATTTGTTGACAATTCATGGGAGTATTAAATGCAGTGATGGATGACACCAGTTTGCACATTGCTGGGCACAGAGAATGACTCACCAATGCTAATTTATAAATACTGAGTTTTCCCTCTCCCAATAGTACCGATTTGGGTCTCAAGTGGTAATAGGATTTTTCATTTTCGAAGCAATAATTATGGAGATACAGAGAAAACGGAGAATTAATTTGATAACATTTTTATACAGATGAATTTTATGTGGGTAAACACAAATTAGCATTAATGTTTATCACAGGGGGAGGCAGAATCTCAAAACAGCACAGGGAAATTGCAAAGGCAATAAGCTCTAGTGGATAATGTTTTTGGTGAAAGCAGAAAGAGGTGCTGGTAGGCAGTCCCTTCACAAAAATCACAGCAGTCTTCAGGCCCTGCCTGCTGTTTCTGAACAGTAGGGATCCTCTCAAGTACAAGGCTCTATTGTCACATATTATACTATGTTGGGGAGGAAGCTCATTTTTCCCAATAGCATCAAAGTCTAAAGAGCAATGGGCTCAAGTCAAAAGAACTGTTTTCTACTAGAGGCTCTGCAGTTAGGGTTTTACCTTGAGCAAGTTCCTGAATTTTTCTGGATTTTGATGTTCCATTGAAAAGTTGGGAACTGCTAGATTCTCCAAGAAGGACTGTAACCTGGAATTACATGGCTAGAGCACAAGGTTAGCTTGTGCTTCCTCCAACCATGGCAGCCTCAGGGTAGTCAAACTCACACAATGACTCAGAACAAGAGGAGGGAAGAAACTGCTTTGACCCTCTTAAAGGACATGCCCACAGCAGACAGGATGTCATGGTGACAACATGTTATTGATCAAAGCAATCGCCAGATAGCCCAGATTTGGGAGCTTGGTACCTAGACACCCCGTTGCTGAATTCAGGCTTTTCAAGAATCTGCAGCCATCTTTATTCTTCCATAAAAATAATGCAATATTTAATACTATTTATGATGCAACTTCATTTGAAATACATCACACAGAATCTCTTCATTGTCCAAAAAAATAGACGTTCAGAAGAGAAACATGATTCTATTTGTGATTGTTCCAGGGGATATATGGCCTTAGAAAAGTTGATTACTATCTCAAAGCCTCAGTCTCCTCTCATTTTAAAAAGGTATTCTTCATCCCTTTCCCATCTCCCAGGAATTTTATGAGGATTAGACTAGATAATGCAAATGATATCTGGACCAAATGCCAGGTAAAATGACCAAAAGAAGATAAAAACACAGGATATTTGAATTCAGCTGAAAATAAGGAAAATACGTTTTCTATACACATGTTGTAAATGCCTCGTAAGGAATTCTACTAAACCAAGTGCAGATGAAACAAAGAAGAGATTAATGGACGATGCACATCACCATTTCTTGAGAAAGAATCCCAGAGCTTCTAGAAAAGTAGAGGCAAATATTGACCCATGTATTTGGAAGAGTCGGGCTAACAGATGGAGGTGACAATTTCATAAAATGAGCCTTACCTCCATCCCTTATCATAGTGGTATGATGGCTTCTATGTGTTTGATTGTTGTATCTTAACATGCATAGCTCCACGCACAAGTTTGTCCAACTGAGAGATGTAGGGTAAAAGTAGACATGTGCATGGAAATAACATCCCAAAGGCACTGAAAAGCACTGCCCTGTTGTAACCCAGAAATTTGGCTTCTCCCTCTCACTCCCTACCTACCAAACATGGGATGTGGGTGCCATTAGTACACCTATTTTCATAATAAGGAGGAAAACTTTGAAATACAGCAAATTCTGAAAATATAAAAATTGATTGCAATGTTGATATTTGGAGCCATCTTTAAAAAAAAAAAAAAAAAGTGTGTTCAACAGGGCCAGACTTTTAAATACACTGAATGGGGCACTTTTGTCGCAAGACATAGCAGCCTGGAAATGTGTCCCACTGCTAAAAAAAATAAAATAAAATAAAAAGGGTATGTTCATGTCCTTGGCCTTCAGAGTCTATTAAAATGGAAGTACCTCGTAGTTTTACATGGCATTAAAGGTCCTGTTATATTCTCTCAGGTACTTTCCTTATAGCATCTTCTAGGAAGGGTATAACTAACACCTGATGGAAAGTGTGGAAGTACTGGGGGGGAGGAGACCTCAGTAGGAAAGCGCACACACACACAGCCAGCAAACAGGCCTCTAAGGCTGCGCTTGACAGAACTGATCATTACAGCTTCCAGTTTTGCCAAGAGCCAGTTATTTAGTAAGAGGAAATTGGAGATTTTATTAATTAGAGGATTGCCCATTGTCTGTGAAAAATGTGTACTGAGACCAAATAAAATCGTTTCTGGGTGCGTGTTTTAAAACCTGGTGTGAGTCCATAAAAATAAAGTTTCTTGCCCTAGCCGGCTTGGCTCAGTGGATAGAGCGTCGGCCTGCGGACTGAAGGGTCCCAGGTTCGATTCCAGTCAAGGGCACGTACCTTGGTTGCGGGCACATCCCCAGTGGGGGGTGTGCAGGAGGCAGCTGATCGATGTTTCTCTCTCATCGATGTTTCTAACTCTCTATCCCTCTCCCTTCCTCTCTGTAAGAAATCAATAAAATACATTTAAAAAATAAATAAAGTTTCTTCTTGAAAATGCAATGTGAAGTATTGTACTCTTTGAACTATTCATATGCCTGAGCCCCTGATGTGATGTGTGGACCTCTCCTGCTCACCTGAATTTTATGTTTCAAATAAGAAAACGTGCCACTGTTTTATCACAGAGCTTCTCAGGAAAAACAATTTTTAAATACACGAAAGCATATCGCAGGACCAGGGGAAAGATCTATTCGAGGAAAGAGCCATCGAGTAAGGATGGGAGGAGGTGTCAGGAAAGACTGTCAGACAGGGAAATGGGTAAAACAGAAATGGGATCCTGTGTTGACGGCATCTTGGGTATCTGTTTCAAAAGGGACTTCCATCTCTATTTTTTTAGCTACTTTAAACTTCAGTTAACTGTAGAATGCTGATGGTAATGCAAGCAATTCTTTGTCATAGAAATGCAGTACATTCTCCCTGAGGAATACAGTTGGTTATTCCTGTGACCAGCATTCCTAATTGGGGATATGTCCTTTGGAAACAACTTGGAATCAGTGGTACCATCCTTTTGTTCCCTTCTTAATGAATGACTGGGATTAAATTGCTTACAGATGTTTATTTCATAGTGGTCCAGTCATGATTTCACCTTTTAACAAACGTTATCCTTCAACAGCAGATGGTGCAGGAGCCTAGAGCAGATTCTATTCTCTGTCGCCCACATTTCACTCTCGACTTTGAAAAATGCAGATTTCAATTTAATCTTTTAAAGAAAGCCTAAGACCTATTTTCTTTTTCTTTCAGCTTCAGACAAGCTTGACTGAACCAATGACGTTATCCAAATCAATATCTCTTCCTCGTAGTGCGTACTGGCATCACATCACCCGTCAGAACAGCGTTGGTGAGATCTACAGTTTGCAAGGCAAGTAAAGTAACCAGCAGCACTGCCACAGCTTCCCCAAGTGGACCGGGAGTCATGCAAATCCTTGGTATTTGCATTGCTGGCTTTTCCTCCATTTCCATTTATCAGCCCTCACTGGCCACAGAGGGAGCTCTGAGATTGACAGTGGCTCTGTCATTTCAGACTCATGATAAAAGTTATTTCAAAAATCACCCAGGGCTGAGTATCCGAGATGGCATAGAAGCTCCACTCAAACCTTACCCAACACATTATCAGGAACTAAATGTAGATCATAGCAGGGTCTGTTTTATGCTGTCTTTTACAAAGGATTTTTCTCTTAGCATCTATTTTTCCATAACAGGATTGCTTATAAGTTTGGAGGCTGACTTGAGGCTCTATAATAAAATGCTACAGAAACCCACTCACAGCAATGTTAAGGTTTAGCCAAAGCCCTGACATAGAAACTATTTGAGGAGTTGGGGGACAGAAAGAGACAAGTGTAAATGCTTTGCTTGTGTGATTTTCCTACAGCTAAATGGTTAAATAGCATGGGGATGGCTTGATGGATTAATCAAATTAATAAAGAGCAGGTATTTCATCAACAGCAGAAACCTCGGCTTTGTTGGTTCATTTCCTCTTCCTTCCCTTTGTCCTTAAATGAATAATCTTAGCGTTTAGAAGATTAGCGTTTAGCGTTTAGAAAAGCACTCAGCTGCAGGCAGTTGACTCACCGCTGACCAACATTGGAGGAAGCAGGAGCTAAGAAAACAGTTGAAAACACTCATCCATCAGACAAGCATTTGTTGAGCACAATAGACGTAAACATAATAGAGACCCAGTAAATATCTGGTGAATGAATGGCCATTATGACTTTTGAAGTAGTTAATGCCTAAGGGTAATGCAATTAGGGTATTTTTTTCCTTTTGTACTTTAGCTTTTGCTCGTATTAACAACACTAAGTATTTTGACCAAAAGAAATCTGTTACAAAGAAACAAATAGTATATTTTTAAAGCAATATTTTCTTGCCGTAGTTTCAAACCTAGACTAAGAATTTGATCAATGGGAATTAATGGTTAAAGATATATTCTAGGGATTGAAGTCGGCATCATGGTGGAGTGATAAGAACCCTTTGTAGCCCCCTGTAAAGTTACAAGTGGGACATCTATCACCCAACAAGTTTCCTCTGCTCAGCACAGACTGACCTGAGAGATCCACACATCAGTTCAGCAGGTGGACGTATTGGAACTTGGAGGGTGGGCGGGATGGAGGGAAGCACAGGGAAGGGATGGTGTTCTCAGACACAGGTTGGTGCCTGCCTCAACCCCAGGTGGTGGGGGAGTTAGGGTGCTCACCGCCCCCCCCCCCAGGCTTTTGGCTCAGCAGAAAGTAAAAGAGGCTGAAGTAGCGTGGGTGCACGCCTACCCGCCACCATTGTGGTGGTGTCCCGAGAGTTGGACACAGTGGGTACCCACCACCCTGTCACCCAGTCATCAGTTTTCTGTATGATCACCCCCGCTCCATGACCCAGGAGGCAAAAGTAAAGGTCAGAGAAAACAAAACCTTGCACTGTATCCCTATCTACTGGCAAGCAAGAATTTGGTCTGTAATTCCAGCAATAAAAGACTGATGTTTTCATGGACGGTAAGGAAAACCTCTCTGAAGGGAGAGCTTGGATTTAGACTGACATACAATTGCAGAAATAATTTTATATGCATCCAAAAGAGCCACCAGAATACATTACAATTTCTTAAAACATTGCCAGAAACTCATTGGAAGACAATGTTGATTTACACAATAAAATACAGTCTATAACTAATTAGAAAACCCTATGATTTATCTCATTAATATTAATTTCAAGCAAAGTTGAGGGCTTAAACTATCAGTTATGATGAGCAATTTACTTATATGGTCTCAATATCACATTTTGGGTTATTTGTAGTTTTTACATAATAAGAATGCATTGATTACGGTAACTACTATAAATCAGATAAATATAGAATATATTCCATGTAAATTAAATTTCACTGTAAGTTTATTTTTATATTGTATACTTCTTAGAGCAATACATTTTACTATTTTATATACCCCTCATTTTATGGTTATATTATCGAGAGAGAAATATTCATATAGGTAGATAGATAGGTAATATACAGATAGATATAGATCTAAACATGTTAGTGATTTTTGAGAGTGGTGATTTATTTTTATTCTCTTTTGTTCTATTGAGGCAGTCAAGTTAAGCAGAAGACAAGAGCTTTTGACCATAATTTGGGGGTTTTTTGTTTTGTTTTTTTATGGGGGTGTAACCTATTCTGACTACATCCTGGTGGAATCAGGACAGAATAAAACTACTGAAACAAAAAAAGAAATAACAATAAGAACATTGAACCTCAGCACCCCTTCTTTGCACACCTACATTTTCACCAAGTTATACTTAATGGTGTGGTTATTTTGTGTCTCATTTCCTCGGTTGTGCTCCTTGAAGTGACTTCACCTTTCCTTTGCAAAGAGGAGAGCATAGTAGGGCAGCTGTCATCATTGACCTTCCAAAGTTGAAGGAAATTATGGGCAAAGGCAGGTGTCATATCAAGTAAACCACGGGTAGCATTGAGGAACAAAAATATATCTTTCAAAGTTTTTCATCATATGTTTTATATTCTAACAGTGAAGAGGGGATCAACATGAGTAAGTTCGGGGGGCTTTCATTCAGAAGATGAAGGGGGAAACGTTTTTGTAGTTAAGGTTTAACAGATTGGGGTTCATTATTAAACCACACATGAACTAGAACTAGAAAGTTCATGGTGTGTCAACAGATACATTGTGTTAAGACTCACCTATCACTCTGATTGCCTGCCACCCTCAAAACTGCATTTTGCTCAGTTTTACTATCTCTATTTCTGTCATTGTTTTGTAACTACAGAAGCAAGATGCACTCTAAAGGACTGGTATAGCAATAGGGCATTTACTTTAATGCTCAGAAAAGAAGGTCTCCATGCTACTCCCAGAAGGGTGCTGGGAAAGTATAGGTTGTTATGGTTTCCCTAGTGTACTCTAGCTCTCTGCAGTCAAAAGACAGAGACAAAGAATAATTAGCTTTAACAAGTAAATGTTTGCTAAGTACCAGGGAGCTATTGTTTCAAATTGCTTCCTCTAAATGGCTTGTGATGGGTTTGTTGCCTCTTCCTGCAAAAGGGGTAAAATAAGGACTTTTCCTTTTTTTTTGATTTTGCCAGATACTAAGGATCGCTTTGTATTTGAAGGTAATTTTCTATGTTTATTTCTCCAACTTCTTCTGAATTTTTGAAAAATATTTATGTCACAACACATTCTGGAGATGTTATCTCTAGACTGAAGGGACCTATTAAAAGGGAAGGAAACCAGATTTCAGACTCTAAACCCAAAGTGAATGCTTAAAACATAGCATTTAGTTTTACTATTGTTAGAACTGGGAGAGGATGGGTTGCTGTCTCTCTCCACCTGCAGCTGCTTCTCTGGGATCAGTTCTTCCACCAGCTCCCGTGATGAAAGGGAGCCAAGAGTATGAGCTGAAAATGGTCTCCAGGGGCCCTAGGACCATGTCCTCTCTATACTAAACCGTCCCTGGTACATGTAATAAGTAATTTTTACACAAAATTATATGGATTTTATAGTGACTCATTTTTTATTTTATTTTTAAATTTAATTTATTGGGGTAAAATCTATAATAATAAAAGCATAATATGCTAATTAGACCGAACATCCTTCTGGACAACCTTCTGGATGAAGCCTGGGCTGCAAGGGAAGCCGGGGTCCTGGGTCCCGGGTGCCAGAGGAAAGCTGGTGCTGGCAGCCAGGGGAAGGAAGGCCTACTCTTGCACAAATTTTGTGCATCGGGCCTCTAGTTAGTTAATAAAAGTATATAGCTTTCAAGTGTACAATTCTGTACTCCATCATCTGTATATTGCATTGTGTGTCCACGTCCCAAAGTCAGATATCCTTCTGACACCATATTTCACTTAGCATGATATTCTCAAAATCCACCCAAGGTGGATCAAAGAACCAAATATAAGACCTGAAACAATAAATTACATAGAAGAAAATGTAGGTACTAAACTTATGGACCTTGGTCTTAGAGAAGATTTTTATGAATTTGACCTCAAAGGCAAAAATAAATGAATGGAATTATATCAAACTATGATGACTCATTTGTGAGCAGCCTGAACAACTTCACTCTTTGAGTCAAGGATGACTGAGGTGCCCTTTACAAAGATGGAGTTCCGCTTTCATTAACACTGATTGATATTCAAATGCCAGCTCAGAATTGTCCCCCTCCCTCTGCCTCCTATCATCAGTAATTAAGCTACAGACCCCGGTGTCAGCACAGCGGCAGACCTGATTACACAGAAGGTATTTTATGTTCACAGAAAGGGCATCTGTGGCTCTAAATTCTCAGAGAGCCAGGAAGCGAACAGGCAATTAGAATTAGAGATAACCTTCAGAAACGGTAGAGTTCCAACATGGATTAAGGAGGTAAATCAAGGGATTTACTTCTCTTTGCTCATCTCTGGCTTCCGTTCATTTTTACTGCCCAGTTTCAAGATGGTAGGTAAACAGCTTCCATTGAGATCTTCTGTTTAAATGTTTATTATATGATGTTTTCCAAATTGCAAAGTTAGTAAAAGCAAGTAAAAATAAGAAGAATTGCTCCAGTAGTAAAAAGGAAATTGTATATGTCCAAACTACCATCTTCCCTGTATTCGATCTATTCATTGTCAGGACAAATCAGCTGTGACCTTGGGCAGCAACCAAGTACATTACATTCTCAATACGGCCCAGGCCTGTGGGTGGCAGTTTGGCAACAACCCTTAAAAACATGCACCATTTTCTAGAATGAACACTTCCTGTCTGTTAAGCATTTTCTGAACATTTATTGCATATCCTTACCTTAGGAAGGATAAGTCAAAGGCAGAAAATGCCTCCCTGGATATCCGTTTTCAAAGATAGATTAATGCATTGCTCCCCAAATGACACCATAAAAATG